CGCATGAAATAGCCTTCATTTATAAGAACAAGAATAGACTGTCGAGTTTCAGATGAAAGTTCTCTTTTTCTGGTCATTTTGAGCGTTTAATTGACCCCACAAATGTGATGCTCCAGAATCTGCTCAAAGGACGGTCAGTTTTGTAGCTTCTGTAACGAGCTAAACTGTTTTCAGATGTGTGAACATGATTGTACAAGTGTTTTCTAATCATCAATTAGCCTTCTGAGCCATGAGCAAACACATTGTACCATTAGAACACTGGAGTGATAGTTGCTGGAAATGGGCCTCTATACACCTATGTAGATACTGCACCAAAAACCAGACATTTGCTGCTAGAATAGTCGTTCACCACATTAGCAATGTATAGAGTGTATTTCTTCAAAGTTAAGACTAGTTTAAAGTTATCTTCATTGAAAAGTTCAGTGCTTTTCCTTCAAAAATAAGGACATTTCAATGTGACCCCAAACTTTTGAACGGTAGTGTAGCTGTGCTTCCTGTATAATTCCTGTTTTCTGATGTTACCTGATGGCGTGGTTTCCAACGGTAACGGCAGCGGTGTAACCTGCTGTACCATCAGGCCCTCACTGAGGCAGCTTCATTCCCTTCCTTCTTTTGGAAAAATAGCATCCATTCTTAATGAGACTGGCTGTAATGGAGTGACCAGCTCGCTTTTTGACTTTCCCCTCTTAGAAACCGTAATGGTGGCTCTGGGGAGCAGACGTCACGACTTTATGGAGAACTTTATTTTAATGCTAGTTTTGTGCTTTTAGACGCTCCTTCCTTCAGTCTTCTTTCTTCTGTCTATTCATTGAATGTTTGAAAAGCTCGGTGGAATGCGGTCATTTGGTTCTCTGCGATTCATCATCCCATCATACTGATTAATTGATTTCTTCCCCCCCTCCTCTGAGAGACGTTGGTCCGCTGAGTCTCCTCACAGTTTCAGCTCTCCCACTTTGATGTTTCTCTGCTTTCCGATCTCCCTGTTCCTCCACTTTCTTTTTGTGAGGTTTTCTAACATAATTCGTTTAGATTTTCATTCTTCATGGTGAAATTTTCAATGCTTATCTTTGTCTCTGAGACTCTTCGACTTTGTGGTATCCATTGCTTCCAACTAAGCTCTGCAAAGGTTTAAATTGTTCTTGCCAATCTCATTATCAGTATTTGAATGTATAACCTTCTCTACAGTATAAATCTCTATTAAAGCCCTCCCTTTTTATAACACGGTGAGCTGGAAGTAGCAAGAAACTCTAAATCTACTTTCCCAATATATGGAAGCAGTTTCCCTCAAGATGGCAATTAATTGCATCCCAGAGCCCTGAGTTATTTGAGGAGATGTACCCGCAGAAAGCCACGGATTACCTACCGTTGCCTAACTTCAGATGATGCAGTTAGGACGCGATCCTGCTCATACCAAGGCCACAGAGGCAGCCCAAAAATGGTAAAAAGGAAACAGGCATCATCATTAAAGGAGCACTGTTCTTTTTACTCTTGCTTAAGAACGTCCTTCTCAGCTCTACTAATTCAACCTACTGCTCTCTTTAGCTCTTCCCTTTGTCCCTTTGGCACACTTGAGTGATAATTAACTGAAGACTTGCACTGATCCACCTTTTAGGGGACGATACTACCATTCTGGCACTAAGATTTTAGGAAAATAAAAATCTGTGACAAACACACAATCATTTAATGTACTTTGTTTTCTTTTCCAGCAGTTCTATGTAGAAAAGTTCACAATAAAAGGAAAAAAAGATCTTCTTCAGGGTTCTTTGTAGAGGTAGAGCATCTAAATACAGCGTACAATAAAAAAGATTATTTCTGTCTTTGCATCAAAGGATTAAATACATAATCTGACTGCAGAACAGAGAGGATGGAGGCTCTTCTTTGATTCATTGAATGGTGTCAGTATTTAACTTTGCAGTCACTGGTCGGATGGACAGAACATTTAAAGGAGAAGTCCAGTCAGCAAGGAATAATCAATAGATCATTATTTATACCTAAAACTAANTGAGGTTTTCTAACATAATTCGTTTAGATTTTCATTCTTCATGGTGAAATTTTCAATGCTTATCTTTGTCTCTGAGACTCCTCGACTTTGTGGTATCCATTGCTTCCAACTAAGCTCTGCAAAGGTTTAAATTGTTCTTGCCAATCTCATTATCAGTATTTGAATGTATAACCTTCTCTACAGTATAAATCTCTATTAAAGCCCTCCCTTTTTATAACACGGTGAGCTGGAAGTAGCAAGAAACTCTAAATCTACTTTCCCAATATATGGAAGCAGTTTCCCTCAAGATGGCAATTAATTGCATCCCAGAGCCCTGAGTTATTTGAGGAGATGTACCCGCAGAAAGCCACGGATTACCTACCGTTGCCTAACTTCAGATGATGCAGTTAGGACGCGATCCTGCTCATACCAAGGCCACAGAGGCAGCCCAAAAATGGTAAAAAGGAAACAGGCATCATCATTAAAGGAGCACTGTTCTTTTTACTCTTGCTTAAGAACGTCCTTCTCAGCTCTACTAATTCAACCTACTGCTCTCTTTAGCTCTTCCCTTTGTCCCTTTGGCACACTTGAGTGATAATTAACTGAAGACTTGCACTGATCCACCTTTTAGGGGACGATACTACCATTCTGGCACTAAGATTTTAGGAAAATAAAAATCTGTGACAAACACACAATCATTTAATGTACTTTGTTTTCTTTTCCAGCAGTTCTATGTAGAAAAGTTCACAATAAAAGGAAAAAAAGATCTTCTTCAGGGTTCTTTGTAGAGGTAGAGCATCTAAATACAGCGTACAATAAAAAAGATTATTTCTGTCTTTGCATCAAAGGATTAAATACATAATCTGACTGCAGAACAGAGAGGATGGAGGCTCTTCTTTGATTCATTGAATGGTGTCAGTATTTAACTTTGCAGTCACTGGTCGGATGGACAGAACATTTAAAGGAGAAGTCCAGTCAGCAAGGAATAATCAATAGATCATTATTTATACCTAAAACTAATACGATTGCGGTGATTTAATGAATTTAGTGTTAATCAGTAAAAAAATACAAATAATAATTTTTGTCACTATCAGTGAGGCCAGAGAAAAATACATGATATGTAGCCAAGATTTCGGAGAAGAATGTTTTCAAGATTTAACTCTTAATTACTCTTAATTAAAAACGCTTATCATTTATTGAACAGTAAGTAGTAATTTCATATTTAAAGTACTTTCAGAAGTTTGAATTCTGAATATGACCGGACTTCTACTTTAATCACTGTCTGACGGTTGGTGCATCGGCAGGAAATCTGCATAAATGAGGAATAGATGTGAGCAAAGGCATCAAGGTAAGATTGAGACATTTGCTCATCTGAGGTCCAGTTAATGAAAATTTATTAGTTTTGCTTTATTTAAACTAAGATTTAAGTTCATTATTGGCTGAATTAAGATTTTCACAGTTGGACCAACCATAAATTTATATGGCAGGATTTCACAGCACAATTTTTTATAAAATAAAATCAAATATACTTAATGTTACTTAGGTAATGCAAGTGCAGATAAAGAATAAAGTGTTTTAGCAGTTTTATGGTGTTATTTTGCAGAACATAACTTTTTGCCATGTGGCGATCTGCTTGGACAGAGGCTGCAGCCGTCTGTTTCACACACATGCATCAGTAAACTATTTTTAATTAAATCTATCAGGTATATTTATCTTTGCTGGAAGCAAATATAAATAACATGCAAAGTAACAGAGTGCATCAACAGGTGGGGGAGGTGCAGCGCCACACATTAGAAGGAATTTAAACTGTGGAAACATCCCCTTGGGTTTTAGATGTCTGGTCACAATGAAAAGGATAATTTGATTTTTAATATTTCCTAACTATGAAAACTGCAAAATGCTGCCTTTGAAGAGTCATAAAGATATAAGGCTAACAAATGTTACCACTTACACTGGAAAAAAATCGATATCTGGATAAGTAATTTTTTTCTTAAAATAAGTGCATTCGTTCTTGGATTGAGGAGGTAAAACAGACATTTTGCCAATGGACAATTGGCAATTTAGATTTAAAATAAGAAAAAAACAATTGCATTGTCTTATCT